ATAATATTTTTAAATGCACAGCAATCCAAAACTGCTAAGAGCTTTGCCCTTTGAGGTAGACGTGTGGTGAGAAAGATGGGCTGTGTGGGTATGACTGGGAATGGGTGTGATAGAGAGGGAAGGATGAGAGGGGCCACAGGGGAAGCAGTCCAGTGCGAGATGAAAGCACAGATCCAAGGAGGACTTGGGAGGATAAAGAGTGCTGGAGGAGAGAGTGTACAAAGGGAGGAAAATGCACGTGGACATTAAATGGTTCAGTGTGTTTGACGTGGAATGTGGGGTCTAAGGGCACGCAGAGGTAAGTGTGCAGAGAAGTGAAGGGTGTAGCGCATATGGGGCTCTGTAAGGATAAGGGGTACTGTGGTCATGGGAACAAAGTGGGCAGTGAGATGTAGGGAGAGTGTACAGATATCAGTCCAGGGGACGGGTCGGTAGAAGTCACAAAAGAGCTCATGTCCAGAAGAGGATAAAAACCCAGCAGGAGGAGGCATATATGTTTTGTAAGATTTAAAGATTCTTTTGATGGTGGGACACAACATAGTAACACTTGAATACAAGAAAGACAAAACTCTATTAGTTATTCTCTTCATAGGTGGTTGATCTGCTATCTTTACTGTATTTTTGCCTGTACCAGTGATTTATTGTCTTTTTGGGGATAATTCTCTTATTCCTATGCATCGCTTCCTCTTTCCCACTTACATAAGTCCCTTTAGGATTTCTTGTAAAACTGCTATCTTGGTCATAAACTCCTTTAACTTTTACTTGTTTGGCAAAATATTTGTCTCTCCTTCCATTCTGAATGATTACCTTGCCTGGCAGAGTATCCTTGGCTGTAGGTTTTTTCCTTTCAGCACTTTAAATACAGCATGCCACTGCCTTCTAGCCTGCAAGGTTTTGGCTGAGAAGTCAGCTGATAGCCGTATGGTGTTTCCTTTGTATGTCACTTATTGCTTTTCTCTTGCAGCTTTTAGGATTCTCTCTTTATCTTTAATTTAGGACATTTTAATTATAATGTGTCTTGGTGTGGGCCTCTTTGGATTTATCTTGTTTGGTGCTCTCTGTGCTTCCTGTACTAGGATGTCTATTTCCTTCTTTAGGTTAGGAAATTTTTTAGCTATTATTTATTCAAATAGATTCTCTATGCCTTTGTCTCTCTCTTCTCCTTCTGACACACATATAAAATGAAAGTTAATGTGCTTGATGTTGTCTCAGAGTTCCCTTAGATCACTCTTGTTCTTTTTAATTCCTTTTCCTTTTATCACTTCAGCTTGGGTGATTTCCTCTAGTCTTCCATCCAACATGCTGATGTGTTCTTCCATGTCACCTACTCTACTATTGAGACCCTCTACTGAATTTTTCATTTCTAGTGTTGTATTCTTCATTGCTGATTGATTCTTATTTGTATTTTCCAATTCTTTGTTGACGTTCTCACTGTGTTCATCACGTATTCATCTTCCAAAATCAGTGAGCATCCTTATGAGCTTTTACTTGAACACTTTCTTGGGTATATTGTTTATTTCTGTTTCATTTAGTTCTTTTTCTGAGGGTTTGTCCTGTTCCTGTGCTTGGAATGTATTCCTTTGACTCCCCATTTTGCCTGTTTCTCTGTGCTTCTGTCTATGTATTAGGTGGGTCAGCTATGTCTTCTGATTGTGGAGAAGTGGCTTTATGTAGGAGACACCTTTTGAGACCCAGCAACGTACTTCCCTCTCATCACCAGGTTGAAGTGTTCTTGGAGTGGCCCCCTGTGTTGGCTACTTGTATCCTTCTGCTGTTTCAGGATTGCTCTTACTTAAGCTGCCCAGGGAATCTAGGGGGTCCCTGAGGCAGGCTGCTTGTAGTGCTCAGCTGTGTGTTGCTCCTATGGACCCCTCAGTCAGTTTATTGTGTTTAGGGAGCCCCAGTACAGTTGGCTGCAAAGTCTCATAGCATATTCCTGTTGTAGTTTTTCTCTTAAGTGAGTAGGCTCCAGCATGAGTTGTTGTGAGACTCAGGGGTTTACAATTGCTGTAGGCCTCTGGCATGCAATGTTGTTGTCCATGCTCTCAGGATTGCAACTGAATTGGGCTGGCCTCAGGCATTGGACTACCCGAGTATTTCAGGCTCTGGAAGGTGGGGCCAATCCCCTATGTGGCTCTTTGTGAAGCACAGGTCTTCTGTTCTTGATCAGCTCTACAGCCCATAGATCCACAACCACTGTCAACAGACTCCTGTCCTGTGTACTCTTCCTGACCCCCTGGACCAGACCCAGTCACCCCACTGCTGAGACCCCCACACACTCCACCAATGTCCCACACTCTCCACGTGCTCTTCACACAGCCCAGCCCCACAGAGGCAGACCCACTCCCCTGCCTGCAGAGGATCCTGACACCCAGTCTATGTAGGCCAAAAAGCTTCCTGAGGGCTTGCTGTTCGGTGGCCCATCCCTAGGGCACACTGCCTGTCCTGGCTGAAATGGATTAAGTTGGCACTCTAATGGGCAGAGCAGACCCTGGGCTACCAGGCCAGGGGAAGAACTCCAATGGTGTCTGCCGGTGTCTGTGTCAGCATGCCTGTACTAGGTCACAATAATGGCTGCCACCAATTTTTCAGTGCCTGGAGAGGTCACACCTCTCACTGAAATGCACCAAGAACCTATCAGGTGAGTCTCTTTTCACCAAAGCTCTGTGTACCTTTCCTTCTGGTGATTTTAGGTTGCTATCCAAAATGAGTGAATTTGTTTGTGGATGCTTTAAGGGCTGGCTTTTTTTCCATTTATGTCCAATTGCTTTTCTAGTGATATTCCTCATTGTAGTTAATAGCCAGCAAAGCCACATATTATGAGATTGTCTCAATTGTGCTGAGTGTAAAGGATGTTTATAACAGCAACACTCCCATGCTAAGTTCCCCTGCTTCTCCAGGGAAGGCTGTGCACCCAAGGATTGCTCCTGGGTAGCTGGTCGTGAAGCTCCATGGATCACAAAGTTTTCTGTTTTCTCTCCAGACAGGAATTTCAATTTTTTTCTGCCTCAGTCAAGACTGTTCCTTATGTGAGTTTTCTTTTTATCCAATTTCCAGTCCTTTCTCAGAGGGACATGTTCCAAAAATAGTTGTAACTAAGTTGTGTTTCTGGGAGGAGGTGAGTTCAGAGCCTATACCTCTAGCTCAACACCCTCCCACATGGCAAATGTATCTTTCATAGGAGGACATGAATTTTGGGGATTCAGAGGGCTGAATGTTATAGGCTCAATTCCCCCCCCACCCATAAAATTATGTATTTTGAAGTCTTAAGCCCAGTATTTCAGAATGTGACTGTATTTGTAGATATGCCTTTTAAAAACATGAATAATTTAAAATTAGGCCAATAAGGTGAGATTTAACAAATACGGCTGTTTGTATAATAAGCAGAAGGAAGGAATTTGAACAGAGATATACTAGACCTGTGTGGGCACAGAGGGAAGACCATGAAGGACATAGCAGGAAGGGTGCCATCTGCAAACCAAGGAGAGTGACATCAAAAGAAACCAAACTTGTCCACACCTTGATCTGGGACTTCTAGCCACCAGAAATGTGAGAAAATGAAGTCTGTTGTTTAACCCACTCAATGTGTGATATTTTGTTACAGTAGCTCTAGCAAGCTGATACAAGAGGTGTCTTTCTGTCTGCTCCATACTGGGAACTTGAAGGGTGACCCTTAATCTTTCCATTCTATGGAGATCCAGATCACTGGTCTCTGAAGATGTCAACTATGGGAAGATTATCCCTCAGATAGCAAAGCCCTTGGAGGGAAGTCATAGGAAGGAAAGAGAATCTGGGTTATTTCTTCTATATTGTAATCTTCCCATGCATGGGAATAAAAGGATACTGGAGTCAGCCAAAGGTTTTCTCCTCTAGGCGATCTGTTGAGAGGTAATTGGAGGTCAAGTGGTTGGTTTGGTAAAGAGACGTTTCTGGTCATGATTGTGAACATATTGGTAACTTCCCTAATTCTCAGAATCTTTTATTTAGATGGCATGTTGCCTGCAATCCTGAAGGGAATATTGGGGTCCCTTGGATGATTCCACCTGTAGTCACTTGGTCAATATAAAGCACTGCACATGTGTGAGTCTTTGCATTATAGTTTTAGATATTTGGACCTTGTATCCTAGTTCCAGATGGTTTTAGAATATAAAATTACTAGTCTCTCTCAAAAAAGGGGATTCTCCTCATTCTTCTATAAAATCCCCTTGCTTCTGTCTTTGCCACATGTAAACGAGATTCCTATTTACTGCCTTTGACCATGTTTTCTAACTGGGACTTAACTTACAAAGTTGATCGAGTGAGAACACAGAGAGAGTAATGCTCCTAAAAGATGAGTTTTATGAGTTACTTTTCCCAGGAATAGGGTCAAATCAAGACATACAGGGACACAGGGAAAGCATGATGTTTTTGTCAGAAGGCAGAAGCAGAAGAGATGGGAAAGCCTAGGCCAGAGCCTTTATTGGGGTTTCCTGGGTCAAGGCAGTGCAAGAGAAATAGCTTACAGTTGGGGTGTCTGAACATGTCCCATTTCCCAAACATCTAAGACCTACAATTCAGAATAAAAACTGCCCATGCTACTTAATGGAAAGGCATGTTGTACATGCATACACTTAGGAAACCCATAGACTATTGTCTTCCAACAATATGCAACACTCATTTCCTAACTGTATTTTCTCTGCCTAATATTCCCATAAATCTACCACTTGGTCAAGCACTCCGATTTGTCTCATTCAGAGGCTAGGCCCAAATTCCTTCAATTTGCCTCAAGCAGCATTGGATCAAGACTACACTCAACAGGATACTAATCATCCAAATGATTCAAAGCTGTTTTATTCACCACCCGTGTGCCCATATATCTTCCATATTGAACCAGCTGATGAAACATCAGTATTCATTAGGGTATTCTTTAGAAGGACATGTGGCTTGTCCTTACACTTTCTTTTGACTTTTTGAGCAGGATTAGTGAATAAACAACTGAACATTGTACAATAACATACAATTTATATTTTTGTGATAAGATTAGGAAATTTTGTGTTCCTTATCCATGCAAAGCAGAGCCTAGATAAAGTAGAGTCAGAACTCATGAGCAGAAAGGGGCTGACAGTTGGAAAACACACAGAAATTAGGTGAGTAGCATTCACCAACCACCAATTGGGATGATCAGTTAAAGCAATACAAAGGTGAAAGGTGGAGGAGAGGGTCTGAAAAGATAGAAAAGAGCTCACCAGAATAAGAATGCTTAATATGGCTCTAGACTCAGGGGAGGATCTGTGGGAAGTGTTATTCTTGTGAATGTGTTGGACCTGCTGCTTGTGCCTGTACAGGATGAAGACCATGGAACCACTTGTCCAGATTATGATCATGGTAAAGGAAACTTCAGGGAATACTATTAATGCTACATATATTAGGCCATTGATTTTCTTCTGCTCATTCGCAGAACAGTATTCAAAATATCTTTTCTTTACAATGTTTTCCACACTCCCTTTTCCAAACATGTACAACTCATACATTGGAACAATTACATTTACAACCATGTAGAGGATCCAGCAAAGGGAAACTGAAAAGCCGATGTACTTTGGGGCTTTGAGTTTAAGATCCTTCCAACAGGAGTTCATGGGGCTGATCATGATGGTCTGGAACACACTCAAGAGGCAAGTCATGCAGATGGATACACTCCTGCCAACTCTCTGAACATACATAAGAAGTTTGCACCCAAAATAATTTAAAAAATGTTTCAACCCAAATGCCACGACTGTTTGGGGGACTCCTTCAGAGAGAATGATCAAGGAGTTAGATATAGTCAGGTGCTTGAGAATCAGATCTGTGGCCCTCAACCTGCCTTTAGTGTGACCATGGAGGAGGTAATGGTAAAGCAGACAGAAGTTGCCCAGTATTCCCATTACAGTCTGTGACAAGCCAATTATTCCTATTGTCATGTTACTGGATTCTGTTCTGTCATTCAACATGTTTTCCTTCAAGTTATAGGAACAGTCATTCCTCTGAGCCAAAAGATACATGGAAGATTTTTGACACCAAAAGTAACTTGACTTGTGTGCTCCTGTTGAATTGTCAAGACTTCATAAGACAGAAAGAGATGGAGAGTTAACCAATATATTTCATGCTACAGATGAAGTGGTGTTTTCCTGGGGGAAGTAATGAGAAGTGAGAGCAAATGGACACAAAGTATAATACATAGTTTGGAGTATAAGCCGAAATTTGTTAGCAATATTGGATAAAAGAAAAAAGCTTGATACTACCCACATCATGAAACAAATTAACACTGAATTGATTGCTCATCTACATTTTAATGACATCATGTATTTTTTTTGTAGAGAAAATAATATTTGTATGGTCTTATAATAAGAAAATATTCTTATATTCTAAACAGCATAGAACATATTAACCATATGTATGAAATGTCTTTCTTTTATATTAAAAATAGGTGGTGGTTCTCATCAAAACACACAGACACACACACAAACACTGGTAACAGGCCAAAGAACTCCTGAAGACCTACATTTGAGCAAACAGTGGGCAAATCATTCTGACAGAAACATCAATTAGAAGATATTCAATGGATCTGTTTGTAAAAAATATTCAACGTGCTAAGTAATCAAAAAAATGCAAACATAACTCTAGATGATAGCATCAAACATCACCTAGAAAACTAAATGAAATGGCAGAGTGATCAAGTTTTGTGAGGGAAGTAAATAAACGAACAATCTTGTCGACTGCTGCTGGACGTAAAATTGGTGCAAACAGTTGGGAAGCTGTATGGCATCTACATTAGCTGTCCAAGTGTAATCTTGTGTCCCAACAATTCCACTCCTATAAATACACTCAACAGAAATTTTACTGATATCGCCAAAAATTAATCACAGAATTTATATACTAACACCACTTTTGACTCAACAAAGTTCCAAATGCAAATCAATGCACTTGCCTAATAAAAGTAAAATAAATCAATTAATTCTTTCATATTCATACAAATGAGTCCCCCATGGAAATGCTAATGAATGCCCAAAATGATGTGCAATAATACAAAGTGATTCACGGAAATCATATGGATTGGAACAAGGGTCATTATCACACATTACATGTTGTATGATTCCATTTACATAAAGTATATAATTGGAAAAGGCAATCTAATCTTTCAAATATTAGATAGTAGTAAATCTATTCCCACCAATTCTGGTCCTCAAATATACCCACCAGAACTACACTCTTGGGAACAGTGATTTAGAGGGGGCACAACAGGATTTTGGAGGAGTGAAACATTCTGTTTCTTGATCTGGGTATGGTGTACAGAGGTATGGTCATTGGTGAAATTCTCCAGAGCTGTGCACTAATGACCAGTGTATGTATCTTTAATTTTAAAAAATACATTTCATCCCCACAAAATTGGAATTTTCTGGGGAAATGTCATTTCCGTAAATGTGTGTGACCTGCTGACTGTGTCCAAGCAGGAAGGAATTTATGGATCTACAGGCCCAGATTATGAGGCCAACATGAAAGGTCAGTGAACAATGACAACACTGCTTAGAGTGAGTCTGTAATTTTGTCATGAAATTCAGCAGAGCTTATCCTAAATTGTTGTCCTTTGCGATGACTTATGGCTCAATTAGGCAATCATATACACAGGAAAAATGATATTTTCCGGCATATACTTGTCCCAGTAGAAGAAAAATGGAAACCTCAAAGTCCTTAGGAGCCTCTAGTTTAAGTTTCACCCATCTGGACTTCATGGAGTTGGTCTCAATGGCAGGAGACACGTAAGAGTCAGGTGGTGCCAATGGACACATCCTGCCAGCTTTGTGAGGATAGAAAACAATTTGCATTGAAAAATCACTGAGGAAAAGCTTCAACAAAAGGCTGCCATTGTTTTGGAGACATCTCTAAAGGAAATGACCAAGAAGTGACTATAGACAGGTGCTTGTGGATCAAATCTGTGAACCTCCACCTGCATTCGTTGTAGTAAAGGAAGAGATAATGGTAAAGCAAAGAGAAAATGCCCACGATTCCAAGTACAATCTGAAATAAGTAGATCATTCCTATTGTCGAGTGTCTGGAGCCCTAACTGTCAGTTCCCAGTGATAGCTATTTGTCTTCAGAGTCAGAGGATCCTGCACTGGAACATGTTGTGTGGACTCCACGTATCATATCAACTGCAATCCAATGTACTCTCTCAGAAAAAGTCACTTAACTTTTGTTAAGAGTCTTCCAGTGAGGAATGTATAACCTTTCAGTCACACTTACAATGCATTAATCACTGCTGCAATGCTCTACGTGTGGTACCTTGTCTGATGTTCCCACCTGCGTGTCATGAGCACTGGTATTGTTTTCATTGTAAACATACTGAGTCTTAGACACAGAGTGGTTAAATAATTCATTTAAATTCACATGCTGCTTAAGGGCTGAATGGAGATATGAACTTGTTTTTTCTTATTACCAAGACAGTATCTCAACTGTTCTGTTACAATAACAAACCATATTAGCTGTGTCTTCAAATAATCCAGACCTATATATAAATTTCAATTTCATACTTTTCCATTTAATTTCATCTTGTTTTTAATTTTACTTGTAAAAAGCTTCCAGTTTTGTTTAAGAATTTTTTTTATCTAAGTCAAAATCTAATGTGAGTGAAGTATTAGAGATCTTAACAAGTGGAGATGCAGGAACTATAGGTTAACCCTGAAGGAATATTCCCCTTGTCCATATTAGATTTAACTAATGCAAGATTTACTCAATATTAGTTTGGGAGCAGAAAGACTCATTTGCTATCATGCCAGGAAAAAACCCAAAATGGTACCTATCAAATAAGTTATTGAACGATATTACCTTGTTCCCTAAATTTTGATCCGTGAAATACTAATACGCAAGAAGACAATGTAGACTAGACACTCAGTTCTTAGGAATTTTGGTTCAAATGCTTAGGTACCTATTAACACTTATGTTACGGAAAACTATTAGCAATAAGGCAAGATTTTTCAATGATATTCTAATAAGAGACACATAATACAGAATTTGAAGAATATAGAGTCTTGTCGATGGTATAAAATAAAATAATAAGGAAATGAATTGTGATCTTGGAGTTGATGTTGGAATATTATTAAGCCAGAAAAAACAAGACAAGATAGATTTGGTTCTGACAACTGTTGTCTGACCCCTAAGTGTAAAGTTACTCTTTCCTTAAATGCGGCTTCTCTGACTTCAAGAGGCAAAACAATCCTGCCATGGTCATCAGACCTCAGATGTATTCAGTAGAGACACAAGGAGTGTCTCCAGAGTGTTATGTACTCAGGTACTCAGTGTTAGATAAAATATATTTTTAATTCCGGAAAAATTCATGTACGTGCCTTCTGTAGAGAATTAGAGAAGTTCTGACAGTTCTATCCTACTCTGTATTACAGGCATGAAGGCAGTAAAGAACACCGCTCATAATACTGAAAATTTCATCTGTGATTCCTCTAATGTAATGTGAACAGAAGAATCATTTCGTATCTACAGTCCTTAAGCACTTTTGAAATGATTCTTCATCACTGGGACTAGTCATCAATACTCATCCTCAGTGAGGATTTTATTAAATTCCTTTATAGGACATCAGGGATTGCTGTAGGGCCTGGGATCCTAATCTCTCTTTATAAGCTCAGCTCATTTCTTAGGAATTATTCTTCCTCACTGCCTACCTTTGTCACTGGATCTGTTTCTAACCCTAGAAGCCCATTTGACAGACATGAACGCTTGCTTAGACTTCCTTCCTTACAGACTCTGCTCTCAGACTGACAGAGCAAATACTCACCTGACTCCTTCCTGCTGCCAGGACTGTTGGCTCAATGTAGTGGGCATGATGGGCAGCACCTGTGTGTGGGAAGGAGGCACGCTGACCCTGAGATATGGCTTTGTGACTGTGACCTCACCTCCCCTGAGAAGTGCAATTTTCATTTCACCTGTGGCAACAGTGGCATTGCAGTCGTGCAGAATGATCACACTTCTGAAAAACTTTTTCCAGTGGCTAATTACCAAAACCAATTAGAAGTTTGTGTAAGTATTTCCAAAGAGACTGTTGACGCATTTGCAGAGACCTTACTCTTTTGTGATCTGTGATGGAGACAGGGTTTCATATAGAAGGAGCAGTAAATATTGACGTTTCCTTCATGAGGGATAAGCAGTAAGGTGTGTGTGTCTCACAGGATTCCCTGAAAAGTTCTTCCACTAAAAATCAAGGTCATTCTTAATCTTCAGACCCCTAAGTTGCATCGCTATTCAAGTACTCAGAAGATACCTGGAATCAGACAAAGTCCAGGAAGAATTTCTAGTGAGATCAGAGTAAAAGAAAGAACATGTCACTAGTTTACATTAGGAATCATTGGCCTTATTTGTATAACCAAATGAAATTGGAGATGACAATATGGAAATTTTCTAGGATGGTGTACTTCGTGGATATTGACCCAACAGTGATCTGAAGTGCAAGCAGAGAAATATCCACAGAAGAAAATGAGGTGTTTATAAAACATCCCTCAGAAATGAAAGCATCGGGATCAGATGATTTAACAGATAGTTTACACATTTTTAAGTATTTTTTAATTCCACAATTTTAAGTAATTTTAAGCATCAGATGCCAATACTACTCTCTCAATTCAACAGCTTTGAATGGTTATCAGAGCTCTTTTCCATTATCTTTGTTGAATTCTCATTAAAGATCATTCACTGCTTATGCATTAATGAAGACACATAAATTTAAGAGCCAAACTCACCCCTTTGCGTTTTCCAACAGAGAAATCCACTGCTTGAACAAGGTGTGTTATCGATTCTCCCTGTATAATTTTTTTTCCAACTGAAAACTTAGAAGGAAAACAATCCACCTGAAACCACACTCACTTTTAACTCCAACTTCAAGTTTGGGATTCACAAAACCATCCTTCCTTCTTTTCTTTCTTTCTTTTTATTTTTTGTGAGGAAGATTGGTCCTGAGTGAACATCTGTTGCCAATCACTTTTCGCTTGAGGAAGAGGGTCCC